GCTGGCATGCATTCTACTGCTCTAAAACAACTCAGACCGATAAAGACAAGAGAGATTTTAATTTTTACTATTAGACTGTTATTTATTTTAAATAAAAATATATAACAATTTTCACTTAAAAGAAAATATCCATAATGTACCCAAAGGTAAGAGTTCCAATTCTTCAGAAAAATTTAGCATGTTTTCCTTTTTGAGTTTCAAGAGTAGAAATATTTGAACCAGATGTATTTTTGTAGTTCTCCCTTTAGCTCTACACAGTTCAAGACCTGCCAAACTGTTTGTTAATACCCTTTTTTTGAAAAATAAAATTGGAACAGCAATGACAATATTAGTTGCATCAGTTCCCTTTACTGGGCCTCAACAGTGAAAACAATGATTTGAGACATGATAAATTTACAATTCTACCTAGTTTAAATACACAAACCAACACAATTAAAGGCAGCAATTTATATGACAGAGAGATGAAAAATTGGTAGAGGATACCTACTTCACCTACATAGCCTTGAAGAGGTCATATATTACCAGGATAAATCATGTGGCTTAATATCCCAGCCCTGAATTTGCTGATGTAATAATTTTTAACTCCCAATCTTCAGAACTTCATACTTGTAGAGGTCAGCCTGAGTTTTTGTGTCTGGATGAATACCTGATAACAGGTATCACAGAATATCAATTCTTTCTTGTGCTCAAGACAACCAATTGTTTGTAGTAATGAACAATTAACCTACCTTATGCATCCATATCCTTCCTTTTCTTATAATATGTGTTAATCTATCCACACATACTCTGTGAAGTGGCAGGTAGAATGCAAGTTCACTTTGTGGCAGTATAATTGATAGTCCATATGTACTTCTGTCTCCATTCCAGTTTCCATCGAAGATTAATGACACAATGATTACCCTTTTTTCTGCCAAGACAAAGAACTTCACATCTATTGCACCGCTTTCTGCATTCCGAAGTATTTCTCCGTTCAGGGTGTGGTTAGCAAGAAAGGTTATTTCACTGTCACTGAGAAGTACCTGTTCTGTCTTTGGAGCCCAGATATGCCGCACTCGGGGGCCAAGAATATTGTCCCAGTAAGCAAAAGTGGCAGCTAATAATGGTGACTCGCCACTCAGAGAGATCTCTGTTTTAGCAACTGCAGGAGATGGTGGTGGACAAAGAGCTGACATGCCTGTTTCCTCTCTTGTGCGCAACTGAAATGCTTGTTACCTAAAAAAGAAGTTTTCATAGAAAAACATTCATACATTAGAGGAGCCCTCATTATTATCTCATGGGCAGGTAGTGATAGGACATGGGTGAGCTGTTCTAAACTAAGGAGGTATTTAGATGTTTGGAAGAAATGCTGTACTGTGAGGGTGGTGAGCACTGGACCATGTTGCCTAGAGAAGCTGTGGATGCCCCATCCCTAGAAGTGTTCAAGACTAGGCTGGATGGGCCCTTGAGCAACCTGATCTTGTGGGTGGCACCCCTGCCCAGGGCAGCTGGCTTGCAACTAAATGATCTTTGAGGTCCCTTCCAACCCAAACCATTCCACATTTACTTTGTTTTTAAATAACGCTTTCAAAAGGCAATCTGACTTCTACACCTGTGATTTTAGTGCAGACTTCATTGAAGAAGGAAGTGCATACATGTGTATGTTCCACCCGACAAAGTGGCATGCTTTACAAGTGTCAGCCACTCAGACCTCAAATAGCCTTTACTCATTATAGAAGTATGATGAGCCTGCACAAGAGACAACTTGTTTAAGAAAACTGACATGATAAGCATGTCCTTATATCACGGTGACATGCAGGGTGTTGTGATATGTGACAAATGCTCAGCGCTTCACAAAATGTATTGATGGACAATTCTTGATTTTCCCTAGCAGTTTGCAACAACTCGGCAGCTTCCCCATTCTGACAGTTCTACCTTCCTTGTAAGTTATGCTAGAGTCACGGGAATACGTTAAACTAAAAAAGTTTTACGAACGAATTCAAGTCGGCACGGAAAACTAGCAGCTAAGTCCCACTCACCCTGGGGAAGCGTCACACGACCAGAACGTCCTTCCCTCCCTCTCTGCCCGCAGCACTCCGGACAGACCCCGCGGTCAGGGCAGCGAGCACAGCCAGCTCACTACCACAGCCCGCTGGCACCGTCTGCTGCTGCCGAACCTCCTTCTGCCCCGTGAGGGTCCCAAATAACGCCGTCCAGGCGCATTTCCTCGCGGCAGACGGGCAGAGCCGCAT